GGACGATGCTGCTGCACAAGGGCGTGCAGCACCACTGGTGGCACCTCGCTCTGCGGCAGGCCGTCTGGATCCGCAACTGCCTTGAGAGGTCGTCGCTGCCACCGGGGACGACGCCGTACCAGCTGCTGGTCGGCCAGAAGCCCGACTTGTCGATGGCGAGGGTGTGGGGCTGCATGGCGCAGTTCCTTGTCCCCGAGCAGCAGCATGGTGGGAAGTTGAAGCCGAAGGCCAGGTGGGGCCTTCACCTTGGCGTGTCGACGGAGAGCAAGGGCTGGGAGCTCCTTGACGTCCACGCCAACTGGGTGGTCACCACGCCGGACGTGGTGTTCTACGAGGATATGTCGCTGGCCGAGTGGAAGTCGGCGCACGGGCCGGTGTCAGGACAGACCACCCTGCCGACCGACACCTCGACGGCGACGCTGCCTCTGCTCGCCGAGGTCGGTGAGCTTGCTGCTGAGGACGTCGAGGTCGACCGTTCTCCTTCCCCTCCGACCCCTGCCCCTCCGCTCCTGGCCGACCTGCGCGGGCTAACATCGGTGTCGGCCCCCGGCGATGAGGGGAGTAGTGGGACGTCGCCTTCGGCGCCGGCCAAGGGCATCGCCGGTGGCCGACGTGACGAGCGGCAAGTCGACGTGGGATTGAAGCCGACGACGACAGGGGAGGAGCAGGTTGAGGAGCAGCAGCCGACAGGGGAGTAGGCAGCAGTGCAGCTGACCACGGAGCAGTCGGCAACCAGGCAGTCGGCAGGGAAGCCGACCACAGGGGAGAGGTCGACCAGGAAGTCGACCGCGGTGCAGCAGGACGACGAGGGCAGTGAAGACGGTGACGCCGGGGAGTCCACCAAGAGTGACGTGGTGGAGGTTCGGCCTGAACCTCGGAAGTCGGATAGACTTCGGAGGCCGCCGGACTTCTTCGTCCCCCCTGCCTTCACCACGGTGTACGACGTGGATGATGACGACGACCTGCTGTACGACGACGCCGAGGAGGATGAGGAGTTTCCGGAGCTCGACCCTGACATGCTGGCTGACCCCGAGCACCGTTGGGACATCTCGACGATGACGGTGAAGGAGGCGTTGGCGAGCTGGAAGGGCCCAGCGGTGAAGGCCGCCATGGAGGAGGAGATCCGCAGCCTCATCAACATGGGCACTTGGGAGCTGGTCGAATGCCCGCCGGGAGTCAACATCATGAAGAACCGGTGGGTACTGACGACGAAGTACCACGTCAACGACACCGTCGAGCGCGAGAAGGCGAGGCTGGTCGTGAAGGGCTTCACTCAGGTGTACGGCGCCGACTACGATGAGACGTTTGCGCCGGTGGGCAGCTACGTCACGCTGAGGATCTTCCTCAGCATCGTCGCCGTCCTCAACCTCAACCTGATGCAGCTCGACATGAAGAACGCCTTCCTGCAGAGCAAGCTCGACCGGGTGCTCTACATGTCCCAGCCGGACTACTTCAACGATGGAACCGGTCGGGTGTGCAAGCTGCTGAAGAGCCTGTACGGCCTGAAGCAGTCACCGCTGCTGTGGTACTTGGCGCTCAACGACGTGCTGGTCGGCGCCGGGTGGAAGAAGAGCCAGGTCGACGAGGCTCTCTACTTCAAGGTCGGAAAGGACGGAGTGGCCTGCTGGGTGCTGGTCTACGTCGACGACCTACTCGCCGCCAGCAGCAGCACCGAGATGCTGAAGGAGCTGAAGGAGCAGCTGGAGTCCGCCTTCGAGTTGCGTGAGATCTCGCCGGTGCAGAAGTACCTCGGGCTGGAGATCGTCCGCGACAGGTCGGCGGGGAGGCTGTGGCTGCACCAGCAGGGCTACGCCGACAAGCTGCGTAGGCGCTTCATCGACGAGGAGCAGACCGGGCGCACCCCGAAGACGCCGGTCTCGGTCGACGCCTACGCTGAGCTCACCTTCGACGACGAGGAGGCACAGGAGCGACACGAGGAGGAGTACCGGCAGAAGGTCGGCTCGCTGCAGTTCGCGGCGACGACGACGAGGCTGGACATCGCCTTCGCCTGCAGCAAGCTAGGGAGCGGCCTTGCGGTGAGGATCGACCAGCACTGGGGCGAGGTCGACCGCTGCCTCGCCTACCTCGCCAACACGCGTGACACCGCCCTGGAGTTCGGCGGTGGACCTGAGTCGCTGGAGCTGGTCGGCTACGTGGACGCCGACGACGACGGTGACAAGCAGAGCAGGACGAGCACGGGCGGCTACGTGTTCGTCTACGGAGGGGCCGCAGTCTCCTGGTCGAGCCAGCGCATCAAGTGCGCGACGCTGTCGTCGACCGAGTCGGAGTACGTGGCGGCCACCGAAGCCGGCAAGGAGGGACGCCGACTTCGCTTCCTCCTCGCAGAGTTCCAGCAGCTGGATGCTGGGAAGCCGACCGTCCTTCGGGTGGACAACAAGTCGGCCATCACAGTCGCCGAGGGCATGGGTTTGACGGGCAACCTCAAGCACATGGATCGGCGACAGGCCTGGCTGCAGCACATGGTGAGGCGCGGGAAGTTCTCGCTGAGGTACATCCCGACCACCGAGCAGCCGGCCGACTTCCTGACGAAGGCGCTGCACTATCCGGCCTTCAACCGGTGCTCCGTCGCCATCGGCCAGGTGCGCTTGGCCGACGTGGGCGACGAAGATGACGACGTGCAGCAGTAGGTGCCATGTCCTCTTGCATGGCTGGTGCGGTGGACGACGTGCTGTGTGTTGGGTGCACGTCGACGAGCTATTCTCTGAGGAGTACTGCCGTGTGGGCTGGGGGGCCCAAGCGTGAACGCGGCAGGGGAGTGTCAACGGGAGTTGTGTATTGGCCCCGTCCTCGCTTGGGCGGAGCCGACTTCGTGAGCCGACTTCGTGGTCGGGTGTGAGGGGAGCAGCCGACCTGCAGCAGTGGGCGAGCTGGTTGACGAGGAGGTCGACCTGCACGGAGGCCACTGCACGGGCGCCGACTTCAGGGTGGCGCCGACTTCAGGGAGGTCGACCTGGGAAGTCGACCTGCGCAGGGCGTCAACTTGGTGACGCCAACTTGGGGGCAGCCGACTTGGGTGGTCGGTTGACAGGATTGCTGGTCGACCTGGTGGTTGGTCGATCAGGCCTGCTGGTCGACTTGGTGGTGGTCGACCAGGCGTGATGTCGACCTGGTGGTCGACTAGACCTAGTGGTCGACGGAGGAGAGGCCGACGTCGACCTCGACTCAGGACGCCGAGCAGCAGGGCGTCGAGTAGTTGGGCGTCAACTTGGTGACGCCGACTTCGGGTAGCCGACTTGGGAGGTCGGCTGACAACTGCGCTGGTCGACATGGAACTGGTCGACCAGGAGTGCTGGTCGACGTAGAGCTGGTCGACCAGGAGTGACGTCGACCTGGAGCTGGTCGACCAGGGATGTGGTCGACCTGGTGAGGTCGACTTGGGATGTGGTCGACCTGGTGAGGTCGACCTGGGGTGGTCGTCGACTTGGGAGGTCGACGGGCACATGCAGGAGCAGCTGGTCGACGTGGTTGCCCGGTCGACCAGGTTACCTGGGTGACGAGGTTCTGCGGAGGAGTGCGACGGTCGCCCAGGCGAAGTTGGCGAGTCCGACCTCGGTAGTGGTATCCCGAGGTCGACGTGGCTGATCAGATGCAGTCGTCAGCGCCAGGTTGACTTGGTGTGTGCGCTGTGCAGGTGACAAGGCTCAGCACGCCAATTATCTGCGAGCACCTGCGACGCTGGTGCGATGTTGTACTGCGGGAGCAACGCTGGCACGCCGTCGACCTGCAGCGTTGGCACGCTGTCAACTTTGCACTGCTGGAGCGCGGTCGACCATGCTGTGCTGGCAGTCGACCGACCTGAATGCTAGCTCTGATGTAGTCTTGCCATGCCAACTTCTGTGAACCATTGTTGTCAACCTTCTCTAGTGAAACTCTTGCCAATTCTCCCCTTGAACTAGCAAGCTGTGTGTGCACTAGGAAACCGACTAAGGACCAACGAACGCAGAGATCACACGAGCACCCGTGCCTAGCCCGTAGTCTAGCTCCCGTTGTAGTAGTTATCTCCGCAAATCTGAGGGCCTGCTTCCTGACATGATCCTAGGCTCGATCAACTTTCTTATCGCAACATGGGATAATGATTTTTTCGATGTACCCTACGATCATATAAATGAGACTATCTTTGGCTACTCTGGCTTTTGAGATTCGAACCTCAGACTTTCCTTTTCGGTAAAAACTTACGGTACCGTATTCTCCCGGATATAACACCCTAGGGTATAGCTAAAAACACATGGAAAAATAGGGGGGATCTTGTTGAAGTTTCAACTTAGTTACGGTACATGTGAGTTTGAATAGGCTTCCTTGCAACTTGTCCATCAACCAACAGGGATATGCAGTACCATTGCATGAACAGAGCACAAAAAATGAGATGTCTATGCTTGGAGTCATGTCATCCATGAAAAAAACAAGGCAAAAATTGCACATCTGTAGTACCGTATTTTACAAATCAACGATCAACATACTTTCTGCGCTGGGCTGGAAGGGCACAGCAGGAGATCCTCATGCTTCCGCCTTTGCGCCACACACACACGAGCCCACTCGCGTGTAGCATGTTTGCAGTATCACAACATATTAGCAGCAAATGGTTTCATTCATTTCATCAGCCTCCTCCACGCCACTTCGATCAACCCGAGCACAGCCTTGAGACGCCTTAGCAACGCCTTTGCACCGCCTCCTTCCCGGCTTTGTGACGCATAAATGAATAATCCCTACACTACGTCTCCTTCCCCGTCTAAGCAGATGAGCAGCCAATCATCCGTGAAAACCACCAGAAGCTGACAGCAGAAAATGCCAGAACGTCTCAGCCGTCAGAAGACTGCGTAACAATCAGACGTTCTTAAGTCGGCGTAACAACCATGGAGACCCATGCCTCCTGGTGCGGAGGCGCGCTATGGCTCTAAGAGCATTGCCGTGTGCTCAACAATCGGATGGGGAGGCGCCAGGCCTCCTTGCATGCCACCTCCATGCTTGCTTGCATGGCGGCGCTAGGCCTCCTTGAGCTTTGCCTTGTCCTCTCCGAAGCTGGCTCGAGAGCAGTCGGCAAAGAGAGACCACATGATGGTGCCCGAGATGTAGAAGGCGATAGAGGGGAGGAACATGGCCGTCTGGGGGGAACGCACAGGGGGAACGCATGGGGCAGGAGAGAATGGGGCAAACACGGATGGGGCAGAAACAACAAGGAGGGTGTGATGCGGGAACGGGAGCAATTGGCAAAGAGCGACCCCATGGTGGCGCCGGTTATGTAGAAGGCGATGGAGGGGAGGAACATGGCCGTCTGGTGGGGAACAACGGGGCAGAATGGGATGGGGCGGAAAAACCACACAGTTGTGACTAGTGAAACGACGGTAGACCGGATGATGGTGCCGGAGATGTAAAGGGCGATTTGAGGGCAGGAGCATGGCCGTCTGGAAGATGTGGCAGTTGCACGAACAGAAACAAAGAAGGGAGACACAATGGATGCGAAGCAAAGCAGCAATCATGACCTGCAAACCGAGAGGCAGCCAGAATGATTAGTGTAACAGATCAACAAATCTGAAGGGGATGGCAAAAACCAGAAGCAGCTGAAAGAGTCACTCGCTCTGACACACCGTTCCTTGCGTGGTGAAAAGAACATGCTCCATGCCATGGCGAATACAGGACAGGGTGCAAGAAGAAAGATGTTAAGCACTCACCGCCCAGGAATGCGTCTGGTCAAACAAATAGCCGGTCAGTGGCACGCCCACAATGCCCGGAACTGCCCCCACCGTGGTTGACATTCCCTGCGAAAAGCACAGACAAGCAAACCCCAGAAATGTCCGGAGAGTTACATTGGATTCGAAAGCAGAGTCCTCGCCTATCAGCCACCCCCGCCAGCCGTTCCCTGCCTGCCAGCCATTTTCCGCCGATAATTAGGCCACCAGTTACCTGAGCTCTTCTCACAGCAAAACACGAGAGAAATGCGAGTGCAATGATAGGGACACATGACTGTGCTTGGACTTGCGGCATGACTCACCAGCAGCACACTGGCGTGTTTGGGAGAGATGTCCTGGTGTGAGCAGTAGAGGCCTGGCGGACATGGGAGAGCATTCAACCGGGAGGAATAAACCATTGGCATCAAGGTAGCAAGGAGTGGGAGTAGGTTGTGGTGGCAGGGCAGGAGTTGGGGAGAAGAGAAAGCGAGATTGACAGTGGCTGTGAAGTGTTGAGAGGCAAAGTGGTTCGGGGCTGAAATGAGTGGGATAGAGGGGAACGAGTTGACTTCTGAGTCGACTCAAAGCGGTGGGGTGCGATGAGCGTGAGAAGAGTTTGCAGTCATGCTTCCGTACCAGCATAGGAGCACACAGAGAAGTTAGTTAGCTGCAGTCATTTCCATACCAGCATAGGAGCAGGCAGAGAGGCCAATGCCACCAGAGAGGGCCGCCACAAGCAGCCAGGTTGGGAGATTGTGGTCCGGGCCGAAGCTAGCCACTGCCATGCAGGCTGCCGGACCTAGGAAGGCCATCCCCTGAGCTAGCTTCCGCACCAGACTAACATCTGTGCCCTCTGCAATCAGCCGGTCTGCTGCCGGCGCCACCACCGCTGACACGGCGATGGAGAGAAGCGGCGGGAGGAGCGACAGCTGACAGGGAGGAGGGGTTAAGGGGGTGAGGAGTTTAGAGAAAGGAGGGGAAACGATTATACAAATGATGAGGAGAGGGATTGTGGAATGGATGTATGGGATGGAGCATCGGAAATGCAAGAAAATGGTATTGGGGGAGGTTAATGAGGTGGGGGATAGGCACAGGAGGAATTAGAGAATGGAGTGGAGAGGTGTGGAAACTGGTCAAGAGGGTCAACATGAGCCTGATTCGTTAAAATGGTACTTAAAGCAATGGTGATGAAAGGTTACTTGGGTGGGCCAAAAACGCACAGAGGAACTAGGGAGTTGGGGTGGAAAATGTGGAGTAACCGGTTCTGAGCCGGGGGAAAATAAAATGTATTTGCCTGAGATATAATAAGAGTGAGTGGCGATGGCAGCAGGGCGCTTACCAGTGATGCTTGAGTGATGTCCAAATGAAGCTCCTTGCTGGTGGTGGAGGGGGAGGGAGGAGAGGGAGCGGCGGGGAGGGGGGGAAGGGGAGGGGACGGGAGCGGGGGGAGGGGAGGGGAGGGGAAGAGAGGGGAGGGGAGGGGAGGTGAGGGGAGGGGAGGGGAGGGGAGAGGAGGGGAGGTGAGGAGAGGGGAGGGGAGGGAAGGAGAGGGGAGGAGAGGGGAACGGATGAAAAATGTGTTGGCAGGGATGCACACATAAAGAGGGAATGAACGGACACAAGGGAGTGCAAGGGAGAAGCAAGACGGCGTTCAAACACAGTTTTCCCACAGCAAAGGCAACGCGCGCCTGGGAAGGCAGAGCAACACGGAAGAGAAAGAAACCCACATGCAGTCCGCACATCATGGAGCCGCATGGCATGGCATGGCATGGCATGGCATGGCATGGCATCGAGCATACCTGCAGCAAGCACAGCAATCAGCCCCATGGCATGCCATGACACTCACCTGTAGTAGGTGGGCAGCCAGGCGAGGAGGATGTGGTGCCCCCAGTTGTTGCAGAAGTGGGCATACACCACGGCCTGCACCGCCCTGCTCCGCAGCAGCTCGCCCCACGGCACTACTGGATCCGCGCCTCCCCCTTCCTCAACCAGCCTCCTCTCCTCCTCGCTCTCCCTCAAATCCTCACTCACTATGTCTCCCTGCAGGGGGAGGGGAGAGGAGCGGGGGATGAGGGGGGGAGGGGGGGAGGGGGAGAGGAGAAAGAGAAGGGAGAGAAGGAGATATTGATGACAAGGCAACCGGTTTGCACGTCTGGAAAAAAAAAACAGAAACTCCACATATCAAATCAAGTCAAATCAAATCGTACCGGCGCGTGGCACTCCTCAAAGACGCAGACGGAGAGCGCCTGATTGGTGCTGGCGGCTGCTGACTCATCAAAGTCGGCTGACGTGACCTCTGACGGCTTGGGGTTGAAAGCAACGCTCCAGAGGATTCCAAGGAACCCGAAGATGTAGAACATGGACTCCCACCCTAAATGCTCTATGAGTACTGGCGCTGCTAGCAGGCTGTGGGTTAGATGAGGGAGTAACCGGGGGGGGAAGCGGGCACAGGAAGACGGGGGGGTGAGAATTGGAACCCGGAGATGTAAAACATGGACTCCCACCCTAAATGCTCTATGAGTACTGGCGCTGCTAGCAGGCTGTAGGAGGAGGGAAAACGAAGGGGGGAAGGAAGGGGCACGAAGGGGAGTGAGGGTGAGAAAGGGTGGGTTGAGATGTAGAACATGGACTCCCACCCCAGATGCTCGATCAGCACTGGCGCTGCTAGCAGGCTGTGGGGGGGCGGTACTCATCCCACTCAACCGCAACGGCAGTCCACGCTCCTAATCATTTCTGTAGCCTTCTCTGGCTCCCCCTCACACCCCACCCCCCTCCCTCCCCCTCCCTCACCTCGCATTCCCCCCACTTCCAACCACCCCTCGCCATTCCCCCACCTCCACCCACCCCTCGCCTTTCCCCCACCCACCCCTCGGCCTCCCCCAAACTCACCCCACCACGCCTCCCACGTTGAACCCGTTGAACACAAACGCAATGCCGCGCGCGCGCTCCTCTGCTGGCATGGACCTGCGAGGGGCACGAGATGGATGGATGGGATGACCAAGGACCAAACGCAATGCCCCCTAATCCTTTCCTTTCGCCGCACACATAGGTACACCTCAAGGGAATGTGCACAACAAGAAAGCTGGAATGGAAACGAGAGAAGCGGGGACGAGGGCAGAGTGTGGAGCGGTGCAGTGCGGTGGCGGCTGAGTTCTCACCTGGCGACGATGTCAGTAGCTGCTGGGGGAGCAACGCCCTCCCCAAATCCAACCTGCGAGCAGCAGAAACAGGCCAATGAGCAACGGAGCCGCGATAACATAGGGCGATTGGAGTGTCAGTGAGAATTGTATTGTTACATGATGATCGCAGGAGTTTGTGAGTAGTAGGTAGGATGGAAAGTGGAGCACGAAAATTCTAAGGAAAGGGGGAGAAAGAGGGTAGAAGGGAGCGGAGGGTGGGGTGAAGAGGAAGTGGAGCGATGAGGAAGGCGTTGTGGAGAGTGAGTGAGGGGGAAAGAGAGGAGGAATTGAAAGCGTGAGCGATGGACTTACGGCAACACGTGAGAAGAGGAGGGAGGGGAGGAATGCGGCAGCAGAAGGGATGGCGGCAGTGGCGATGGACCAGATGAGCACGCCCGCCCGTAGCATGCGCCTGGGATGGGTTGGCGCGGTATTGGGAAGAGTGGGCATAAAGATAGGTGTTAGGCGGCAACAAGACAACGATGGCGGCAGTGGCGATGGACCAGATGAGCACAGCCGCGCGCAACATGCGCCTGAGACGGGTTGGTGGGGGGTTGAGATAGGTGTAAGGTGGTGACAAGGATGGCAGCAGTGGCGATGGTCCAGATGAGCATGTCCGCGCGGAATGCGCCTGAGATGGGTCGGCGAAGCATGGGGTGTGTGTGAGCATCGAGGTAGGTGGAAGGCGGTAACAAGACAAGGGAAAGCGAAAACGTCAGCCGGGGCAGCCAAGGACCAGATGGGCAGCCTGCTCATAGTATGCGACTGGGATGGGTTGGTGAGGCATGGGGATGGGAATGTGGGCTTCGAAATAGGTCATCGGGGATGGTAGTACATGGGTGCAGTACATGCACGTATGATTACAAAAATTAATAATAAGCAGTTACGCACGTGCCGGTGAACTTTTGGCAGAGCCAGCCGGCGGGCAGCAGCGAGAGCGCGTAGCCCCAGTAGAAGGACGACTGCACGACGCCCACCGTCGTGGCGGACCACCCGAACTCGTGCGCCATCGGGATAATCGCGATGCTCAGGTTCACCTGCGCGCGCGGGGGGGAGGGGGGGTGGGGGTTGGAAGACGGGAGTGGGGGGGGGGGGAGGGGGGGGAGGGGGAGGGAGAGGGGGGGGGGGGGGGGGGGGGAGTGGTGGTTACGTGTTGGGCGACTGCACGACGCCCGCCGTCGTCGCGGACCAGCCGAAGTCGTGCGCCATCGGGATGATCGCGATGCTCCAACGTGTGCGGGGGGATAGACGAGTTGCGACAGTCCCACGGGATGATGGAATGCTCAATATTGTCTGCGCTAAGGGAGGCGGCTCCCGGATGAGAGTGAGCGTGATGCTCACAATCAAGTGTAGCAGGGAGCAAGGTGAGAGGAGCGAGCAGCACGGAGCGAGCAGTACAAGGAAGGGAAAGTAAGGCATGCTTTCGATCATCCGCTGGGACGCGAGGATATTCCACCTTATCTAATGCAGGGGTGGGCGAGGAGGGAGAGCTACCTTATCCATGTTGCAGAGAACGAACGCCAGCGACGTACTAAAGATGACCCAGTACCGATCCGGCATGTCTTTAAGCGCTACTCTCATCCGACCCAACGCCGACAAAGCCGCTTCCGCATCGTCCCCGCCCGCTTCCCGCCTCCCTTGCAGCTCCTCCCCCAACGCCCCAGCTGCCGGTATGGTCGTCGCGCCGCTCGTCTGCCGATTTGTATCGCGAGACGCAGGAGCGAAGCTTCCCGCCAGCTCCCCTTCCGCAGGGGTCGTCACGGCAGCCGAGGCGACTCGCTGTCGCTGCTTCGACAGAGGTACGAGGCCGATCGGACGAGTCTTAATTTCGTCGGGCTGCGCTCCGGGAGGCGACGCGGAATTCGCGTTATTCTGCGACGACGCTCTGCACGAGGCCGGGAGGGAAGTCCTAGGCGACGCGAACGTACGTTGAATGTAGCCGCGGTGAGCTTGAGCCGACGACGTTAAACAGAACCCGTCGCCGAGGCCCAACACCTGGTAGCCATTCAGTGCTCCCGTCCGTCTTAGGCGAGAGGTGGGTGGAAGGCTTTGGGACTTTTCTGAGGTCGGGAGTCTATGCGAGGTCTCTAAGGTCGGAATCCCCGGTAGTTGACACGCCATCTCGCGGGAATTCAAGCGCGCTCGTCAGTTAGTTTGCACTTGAAAGAATCGCGGTGGTGTCTTACGCTAGCCCGTCACCATAACCAACTGGGCCCCAGGCGGGGAATGCACAAGCTAGCGTGCAGACGATGCTTATTTGAGGCAACGCTTCCAGGTGACAACGAAGAACGGCCAAGGAATGGAGAACGGGGAGAGCGGCCAAGGAAGCGGCGGATTGGCTGACAACGACAGCTCGTTATTCCAATGCCTTGTGGCTTTGGAGCTGCTCCTCGAGCTGAAAGCAGCAATAGCTTACTCAGCGTGATAGACTAGGTTCACCTTTCCTTGATTTCCACGGGAATGGTGGCTGGCGTCGCACTGAGTTTGCTGGAGCAGACGGCTCTGGGGAACCAACGCTCGTAACGGGGAGTGAGCAGAGCACAACCTCGTGAGAGGCACGCAAGCTCTAGCGAAGCAAAGGGGAAGTATGAGGTTCAGGCAGAGACTAATGAATAAAGCTGAACCTCAAGAAGTCCCGCCCGAGAGGGAGGGTGAGCTTGTGATACACCCTCATGAGTGGGTGAGTGGTCGGAGTTGGACCGTGCGTGAGTCATCCCTCGAGATTGACCATAGGGAAGGTCAGGGCAGGCGTGTGGGAAAGAGTAGTTTGGTGTGCGATTTCACGAAGATATGCGCGAGCGATTACCCGCTGAAGTGTAACATGCGTGCGTAATCCGATTGGCTCAACTCGCTGTCACGACGGAGATTGCGGTTCCTAACGAATTTCGCCGAACCGATTGTCTTTGCTGTGGCTCAAAAAGCAAGCAAAGGGGTGCTGCCCACAAACGAACAATGTCCACGTGCATCCAGCAGAAGCGCGCCAACTGTGTGAATCAAGGGTCTCGAGGCCGATGACGACCAATCCCCTATCGGTGTTTAGGGATATGCTGCCCGTGGTCCGTCCGCGCTTCACGGGCAAATGGAAGCAATGGCATTCCAGTGCGCTCCGGAGAACAGTAGGACCCATTCCATGCCCCATGGCAGAATTGAGGTGTTCATTTATGAGCCGATTCGTTTTTATGAAAACACTCGGAAGTTCGCTTCCTTGCTACAAACAAACCGGAAAAGGTAAGACCTTGGGAACTGAAATTTTGAATTTCCCGCCACTGGAAGTAAGGTTCCCACGCACATATGCTTCCAAGGCTCCAACGGTCATATTCTGCTCACTAGAAGTTCATTTACCCTGCTCAGGCCCCTGAGTTTGTCTTCACTTGTACTTGCTTTCTGTGTATGCATTACTTCAGTGTGAAACCGCGCCTGTAAATGTCTAAAGCAGTCTCAGCGCTAACAAAATTGTGATAAGGACGCAACGAGTCTGATAGATAGGTGCCGTCGTGGAATCGACCAACAGTTCCGGCGTAACAGATTAACGATAGTTCCCACTTACATTACGAGCTATGCCGGTGTACAATATATGTTCGATACCCGTGTCGTTCCCGTACGAGGCGTATGAGTGCCAGATTGTGTACATGACTCAAGTCATGCAGTCTCTCCTTCAGGTGCGAAAGCCTCCGTTCTCCTCCTCTGCTTTTCTCCTCCGCGTTTCGCGTTTCATCACATGCGTCCTTGATCCTCGGCCATGCTGAGCGAGCGTCAAAGCCACGACTATTCTGTTGACCGTCTCTGTCAAGACCGCCGTTACCTAGCCTTACCGTCTCTTTCGAAGCCTGTTGTCTTTGCGTTAGCGTCTCTTCCTAAGCCAATTATGAAACTTATCCATCGCCTCGTCGCCCTGACCGCTCCTGGTCCGCAACCTTTGCACAATCCTCGTCCTTCGCGTTCTCCACGCTATCGCGCTGCCCCCTGTAGCGCAACTCGTCAGCCTCTGCTAGTATCTGATCCCATGCAATTTTAACTTCCAGAAAAGTATGCACGTTTATTTTCCGCGCAGGGGGGGAACGGGCTGCTGGAATCGCCGACGGGGACGGGGAAGACGCTTTGCCTGCTGTGCGCGTCCTTGGCGTGGCAGGCCAACCTCATCCGCGCAAAGAAGCGCCGGGAAGCGCAGCAGCGGAAAGCCGTGCGCGAGGGGCGGGGGACGGTGCGCCAACCGAGCCAGGGGGCGGACGACGGGGAATGCGCAACGGTGCGCCTGTCGCAGGAGTCGCGTGAATCGTCGCAGGGTTCACAAGGGATGGGGTCCCAGGGGATGGGGTCGCATGGAATGGGGTCGCAAAGGCAGGGGAAGCAGCAAGGAACCGCGGGGATGGGAGGTTGCGGCGATCACGGCGGGGGGGGACAGAATGGGGGGAACGGGGGAGCGCGGAATGGTTTGCCAGGGGGAAATGGCGGAGTGTGTTCAGCAGCGGGGGAAGACGGGGTGGGCGGAGAGGGGGAGGAGCGCATCCCTACGATTATCTATGCGTCGCGCACACATGCGCAGCTCCAGCAAGTGGTGCGAGAGCTGAAAGCGACCACGTACCGGTGAGTGCAAGGGGAGAGGACACGCAAATTCTAGTCGGGGGTTGAGATTTTTTTAAGCAGGAGAACCTGCGCTTGTGCCTTCAAGTCAAGCTGAGAGGCAAAGTGCCTGAAGGCGTTCTCCAGCCCCTCTCCCTGCCTTCCTCCGAAGCAGGCCGCGCATGTGCATTCTGGGGTCGAGGGAGCACACGTGCGTGCACAGGAAGGTGGGCAAGCTGAAGGGCAAGGCGCAGAACCACACGTGCAGGCAGCTGGTCAAACGCGGCAAGTGCCACCACAACCACATGGCCGCAGGTCAGGCCGCTACTTCATTAAATGCCTCGGAAGGGTTTTTTTCAGAATGGATCAATGTATCAGAATGACATGAGCTGAAAGCCATGCTCTTTCTCCCCACTCTTGCTGCATACCCACTCTTGTTTCCTCCCCCTCCGTCACTTCTCAGACTGTGTAAGGAACGAATCTGCACCAGGCATCTGCGCCCCACAGCACCTCCTCTTGCCCGCTCCTCACCTCAGAACTCTGCAATATCTGCTTCCCTTGTTTCCCACCCTCTCCCTCCAGACTATGTAAGGTTGAACCCTCAGAAGGCGTCAGAGCCGCACGATATCGAAGACCTCGTGCAGCTGGGCCAGATGGAAGGACCGTGAGTCTTCTTCCCGCCACCTCTCCCCACACCTCGTCATGCACTTCCTTTCTCGCAGCATACAGTACAAACCATGTCTGAACAGCTCCCTCTCAAAGTGCATGGCCATGTGTTCTGTACTTCCACCCCAGTATACGTCTCCCACGCTTTGGATCCATGCTCTTCCTTTGTTGCCACACACAATCAGTGTCTTAGCTTGTGCAGGTGTAGATTGATCAGGTTCCCCATCAGGTTCCCCATCAGGTTCCCCACCCCATCAGGTTCCCCACCCCATCAGGTTCCCCACCCCATCAGGTTCCCCATCAGGTCCCCCATCAGGTTCCCCATCAGGTTCCCCATCAGGTTCCCCACCCCATCAGGTTCCCCATCAGGTTCCCCATCAGGTTCCCCATCAGGTTCCCCATCAGTTTCCCCATCAGGTTCCCCATCAGGTTCCCCATCAGGTTCCCCATCAGGTTCCCCACCCCATCAGGTTCCCCATCAGTTTCCCCACCCCATCAGGTTCCCCACCCCTTCAGGTTTTCCATCAGGTTCCCCATCAGGTTCCCCACCCCATCAGGTTCCCCATCAGGTTCCCCATCAGGTTCCCCATCAGGTTCCCCAACAGGTTCCCCATCAGGTTCCCCATCAGGTTCCCCATCAGTTTCCCCATCAGGTTCCCCATCAGGTTCCCCAACAGGTTCCCCATCAGGTTCCCCATCAGGTTCCCCATCAGGTTCCCCATCAGGTTCCCCATCAGGTTCCCCATCAGGTTCCCCATCAGGTTCCCCATCAGGTTCCCCATCATGTTCCCCATCAGGTTCCCCATCAGGCTCCCCATCAGGCTCCCCATCAGGTTCCCCATCAGGCTCCCCATCAGGCTCCCCATCAGGTTCCCCATCAGGTTCCCCATCAGGTTCCCCATCAGGTTCCCCATCAGGTTCCACACCCCATCAGGTTCCCCATCAGGTTCCCCATCAGGTTCCCCATCAGGAAACCATCAGGTTCCCCATCAGGTTCTCCATCAGGTTCCCCACCCCATCGGTTCCCCATCAGGTTCCCCATCAGGTTCGCCATCAGGTTCCCCATCAGGTTCCCCATCAGGTTCCCCATCAGGTTCCACACCCCATCAGGTTCCCCATCAGGCTCCCCACCCCATCAGGTTCCACACCCCATCAGGTTCCCCATCAGGTTCCCCACCCCATCAGGTTCGCCATCAGTTTCCACACCCCATCAGGTTCCCCATCAGGTTCCCCACCCCATCAGGTTCCCCACCCCATCAGGTTCCCCATCAGTTTCCCCACCCCATCAGGTTCCCCATCAGGTTCCCCATCAGGTTCTCCATCAGGTTCGCCAT